ACATGGCGCAGCAGAGCTTTCCTGCCTCTCCCAGCAGCTCCTAGCAGTGTATTTCGTTGATCTGCCTGTTCTGCTCCCCAATCTGTTTCTGGTGAATCTTTTCACTGCCCCTGCACCTCTGGCCTCTACCCTAGTTCTGTGTTCATACATAAATAAATCTTTAAAAATTTTTTTGTTGTTGTTGCTTTTATTGGTTTCCCTTGTTTCCTAGATACTTGTCTTCCTTTTCTTAGTAAGGGTACATTGGAATTAAATTTGCAGAGAATATTGCAAATCACTTTGTTCTTGCATACTTTTTGGTGGCTTGATTGTAATAGTGAGTTACTGCTTAGTGGGTATAGAGTTTCAATTTTAAAAGATGAATATTGTTCTAAAGAGTTCTAAATTGTGAATGTACTTAAGTGCATCAGCTGAACACTTAAAAAATGATTCATTTGATAAATTTTGTTAATTGCATTAGTTTTCTTGGTCTGCCATAATAAAGTATGTCAGGCTAGGTGGCTTAACAATGGATATGTATTTATTGTCTCAAAATTCCACAGGCTAGAGTCTGATATAAAATTGGTCTGATTGGTTTCCTCTGAGTTGTGTTTTCCTAGCTTATCATTTTGTAATATGGTCTTCCCCCTAAGAGTTTGTAGACTTAATATGTTGTTCTTAAACTGACAGCATTCTTAATAGATTAGGCCACCTACCCTAAAACCCACGTTTTACCTTAATTACCACTTTAAAGACCATTTTTCCAATTAATGTTTTGAGGTAGTGGTCATTAGGATTTCAGCCAGCCAGAAGTGAAGTTGAGGGAGTAAAGAGGATTGAAGGGATTGTTGAATGGCAGTGAGGGAAATAAGCCCATAATATGTTTTTTAACCACAGTTAAAAACATGTATATGTAATATGATTAAGTTATCAACCCACTGGTATAGTACCATAGGAACTAGAATATTTGATTATTGAAACATAACATTACAATCTTTATTATAGTTTTTCATGTAGTTCATACCATAATTGCTCATAATTTAGCAATATTTCAAGATTATTATATTGGTTTTACTTTAATGGTAACATAATGTCTTCTTTAGATTATATAAAATATAATATTCTTTAGATTGTAGTATTGTTACGGACAGGAAGAGGGGTACCCAAACCTGCCTGCTCTAATTGGTCCTGCCATATGCCGCATCAAGACAAATAAGACTTTTAATGAAAAGGAATTTGAATACAATTAGTGTGCAATACAGAAAAGACAAAGAATATAATTTCTAAATCAAACACCCAGAGTTACCCATCCCCTAGGGGGTTAAAATCCACCCAGAAGAGATTGGCTCTAAGCAGAGCCCCAAAGCCCCCAAGTATAAAGCACCTTTCAAGCAGCGACCCATGGAAAAGGGTTAGAAATGGCCAACAAATCTGGGAGGGAGGGAGTAAAAACAAAGTCATGGTAAATGCTATCATAGTTAACCTCCTGTGGGTCGCTCACCCACATCTGTTTCAACCAGACCAGGACCAAGAAACAAGAGCCGCTTCTACACATGTCACTCTGCTCCATGTGTCTTCCTCAGGTCTCCTTCTGGCTCCCCATCCTGCTTCCTTCTTCAGTCTTCTTTTGATTCTTCTTGCTCAGCTCCATCCTCCTTTGGGGAACAGGGAACCTGGAATCTCCCCTTTTCTTGGGGACTATCCTGTTGCAGTATGGCACCTTGTTCTCTCTCTTTTTTTTTCCTCCTTTTTTCTTTTCTTTTTTTTTTTTTACATCATTCTTCATTTTGTGTATTTTTTCATCTCAGTTGTAATCCCTATGGGCTTCCCACCACCAGTCTACCCGTGTGCCATCACCACAGTCCAGTGCACTCTTTCTACCCAGTTCTGATTCTATTCCCCTTTCTACCCCCATAAATGTCTCTGGTTTATAGTTGTTCATTGTTTTCATTTTTACTCTATTACCTTTGTCTCTCATTTCCCCCCGTCCCTCTCTACCCCTCTCGGATCCCTTACGCTCTTGCTGAGTGAAACCATCAGTATTTTTCTTTTTCTTTCTGGCTTATTTCACTAAGCATGATTCTTCCAGCTCCATCCATGTTGCTGCAAAAGGCATGAGTTTATCTTTTTTGATTGCTGAGTAATATTCCATTGTATATATGTACTACATCTTTTTAATCCCGTCATCTACTAGGCATTTGATTCCACATCTTCCCTATCGTAAATAGAGCATCAATACACATGGGGGTGCAGGTGTCCTTTTGAATCAATATTTTTGTGTCCTTTGGATATATACCTAGATGTGGGATTACTGGGTCATATGGAAGCTCTACTTTTAGCATTTTGAGAAACCTCCAGACAGCTTTCCATAGTAGTTGTATCACCTTGCATTCCCACCAGCATTGTAGGAGAGTTGCTTTTTCCCCACATCTGCACCAACATTTGTTGTTGCTAGTTGTTTTAAGATGTGCCATTCTCACTGGGGTGAGGTGATATCTCATTGTGGTTTTATTTATATTTCCCTTATTACAAGTGATGTTGAACATTTTTTTCATATGTCTGCTGGCCATCTGCATTTCTTCTTTGGAGAAGTGTCTGTAGTTCTGCCCATTTTTAAATAGGGTTGTTCACTTTATTCTTGCTGAATTTAATCATCTCTCTGTACCTTTGTCATCAGTCCTTTATCATTAGTATTGTGTGCAAATATTTTCTCCCAATCAGTGGGGTATTTCTTTGTTGTGTATAGTGTCACTCTTGCTGTTCAGAAGCTCTTTAACTTGATGTAGTCCCAGCTTTTTATCCTTTCCTTGCTTTGGGTGATGTATCTTTAAAGATATTATTGAGGTGTATGTAATGCAGTTTCGCCTACCTTTTCTAGATATTTTATGGTTTCACGTCTTATGTCTAGTTCTTTAATCTATTTCGAGTTGGTTTTGTGTGTGGTGTAAGGTAGTAGACTAGCTTTAGTTTTTGCACACAGCAGTCCAGTTTTCCCAGCACCATTTGTTGAACAAACTTCCTTTGTTCCATTGCATATTCTTTGCTCCTTTGTCAAAAATAAGCTGTTCGTAAAACTCTAGGTTTATATCTGGGTTTACTATTTGAATTCATTGGTTTGTATATCTGTTCTTGTTTAGTACCATGCAGTTTTGATTATTATGGCTTTGTAGTATAGCTTGAAGTCTGGGATTGTGATGCCTCTGGTCTCTTTTGTTTTAGGAGAGTTTTGGCTATTTGAGTTTTTGTTGTGTTTCCATTATAAATCTCACCAATATTTGTTCTATTTCTAAATCAGAGAGAGTAATAAGTACAATTAGGTGGTGCCTAACCGTATAATCATATAGGGAATGCCGTGTGTGTGTGTGTGTGTGTGTGTGTGTGTGTGTGTGTACACATTAATGAGTATAAGATTATAGTTATTTTTTTCCTATAACAGGATTTTTGCTTGCTGTACATTTCTTTACTCTCAGGCCTTATTAGGTCTGTGTCTTCCTTGTCTGTTTCTAATAACATGTTCCTTAAGTAAAAACTACTTAATTCACATTTGTTGAATGAATAGGTGAATGAATTTTGTATGCACAAGACTTTTACCTTGTTATTTTTGCCTTCTCATATTGATGTTTTCAAAGTGTATTTCCAAAAGTAGATATGGTAAGATAGCATTTTATTTGACCTATACTTCAAAAAAAAAAAGAAAAAAACTCTTGATTTAAGTACCTTTATTTCAGGCTAGCCTGTAATTTTTAATTTCCCCAGTGGTCGAATTCCAGTTTATATTATTTCATTAATAAGAGTGTTTAATGATTAAACTTACTTTGCAAGATAATACGGTTTAAAAAACGGAATTGCTGTTTTTTTACTTATAGCATGTTCAAGTTAATTGTTTTAGGATTTCCCCCCTTTATTGTTTACTGAAAGATCTGTAACCCAACCAAACTTCCGGAGTTAGTTACTTGGGTATTGTTTCTCTGCTGATTTTTATCAGAAACAGGAAATTGTTAAGTTATGTGTTAAAAGTACAGCAGATTCTAAAATTGCATTTGAAAGATTTCTCTTTAGAATTTTTTTTCTGTCATAGCTGATTCCTTTTTCCTAAGAGTATCACAACTGACTTGTGAAAAACCAGCGATAGTTATCATGCTCTGTATACATAGCAATCAGTGCCATTCACTTGTCATACACATTATGGATGATAAAATGATTTGACAAACTGAGTGTCATAAATATGTAGATATGCAGAATGAATATGTAAAGTGGGTTTGGCCTGATGTTATCCCAATATTTAAGTGTTTGGCCTGATGTTATCCCAATATTTAGATTAGCAGTTCTTTAAAATGTATCAAAATGAACCCTTCAAGGACTATTTGGGACCAAAATTATTTTCATCATTGTAGGAAGTTATATTTTTTTTTTTTAAGATTTATTTATTTGTGCATACAGAACTGAGGTACAGGCCAGAAGCTCAGGGGTGGCGAGAGGCTTCACCAGAGACAGAGTGGGGAGCAGAACAGGCAGATCGACGAAGTACACTGCTGAGGGGAGCAGTGGGCGGGTCAGGAGAGGTCTGCCACGCCATGTGGTCACCTCCAGGGCAGGCGGGAATCGAACTCATGCAGAAGTGGCTTTAGCTTCTCAGTGCTGTTCTTTAACCCGCTGCGCCACCAGGGAGGGCCGGAAGTTAATATTTTTTAAAATCTGTAATTTTCAGAGGCTGCATGAATTGATAGTTTACAAGACTTCATCATTTGAAAGATCTGTAAAATTCAATAATGTACAATAGGTCCATTTAAAATGTAAGGCCAGGGAACATTTTCTGTTGTGTATTTATTTCAGTTTACATACAGTAATATTCACATTATTGTGTGTGAATGAGATTTGACATATTGAGTTATGGGTTTATTACCACAGTCTGTGTATAGAACACTTGCTTCAAATTCCCTTAGTAGTCATACACCCCCAACACCATTAACCTGTGAAAACTACTGATCTGTTTTCTATTCCTATACTTTTGATTTTTCCAGAATGTCCTATGTTACCTTTTGACTCTGGCTGATTGAGATCACTGAATCACATGGTAAGTTTACGCTTAACTTTATAAGAAGCTGTCAATTTGTCCCACATTTGTATTTCTATAAGCAGTGTATGAGTTCTTGTTGCTCTTGGCCTGGCTGGTACCTGGTTCTATCTTTCCTCCCTCCCTTTCTCCTTTTTTTTCTCCTGCCCTCCTTCTCTGGTTTTAATTTGCCTTTCTGTAATGACTAATGATGTTGAGAATTTTTTCATGTGCTTATATGCCACCCATGTATCTTTGATAAAGTATCTGTTCATATATTTGGTCCATTTTAAAATAATAAGAGTTGAAATATTAAATATTTTTGCCTCATGACTTTGCTTGGCATAGCCTCAGGCAGTGCTCCCCAGGCTGGAATCACTAACCAGTGGCTCTACCATCTTGCACACCACTTTGGACTTGAGTCTTCTGGCCTGTGGAAACTTAGACCTCCTCTTTTGAAACTGTGGTGTAGACCTTAATGATCTCTGAATTGCCTTTTGGTTAGGGGGGAGTCCTTCTTTCCTTGTCTTATTTATATCTTGAGTTTTAAACTGAGTAACTTTGGTTCCAGCCTGTAAAATCTGAAGCCAGCAATCTTGATTCTTTCCTGTCTCCTCCAACTTATTGAATTACTGTTTTCTGATAAGTGGCTGATTAAGTTCTGGGTTCACACCTATATTAATTGCCCTTGACTCACATTCTTAGTGTTTTGTTGTGAATACGCTTTCTCATTTTTTTGCAGTATAGAAAGGTTGAGAATTTTCTAAGTTTCTGCTTCCCTTTTTGGTGAACACTTCCATTTTTCTGTGATTTCTCTTTTGTGTACTTTACTGTAAGCATTTTATGTAAGCATTTAAGAAAAACAAAGCCTCATTATCAACACTTTGCTTTGAAATGTCTTCAGCTAAATATCCAATTTCATCCTTAGGGCTAGGAAATGAACATAATTCAGTCATACTTTCTGCCATTTTATGACAAGGATCACCTTTTCTGCTGTTTCCAATAATATGTTCCTCAGTTTACCCCCAGAATGGCCTTTATCATCTATATTTCACCCTACATTGTGTTCATGACAACCTATTTGCTAAGAAAATAACTTTTTCCAGCTTTTTTTTTATTTAAAAAAATTTTTTTTTTTAAAGATTTTTATTTACTTGTTCATACAGAACTGGGGTACAGGCCAGAGATGTGGAGGGTGAGAGGATTCACCAGGGACAGAGTGGGGAGCAGAATGTGCAGATCGACGAAGTACACTGCTGAGGGGAGCAGCGGCAGGTCAGGAGAGGTCTGCCATGCCATGTGGATCTCCTCCAGGGCAGGCGGGAATCGAACTCATGCAGAAGTGGCTTTAGCTTCTCGGTGCTGTGCTTTAACCCGCTGCGCCACCATGGAAGGCCTTTTTTTTTTTTTTTTTTTTTTAAGATTTACTGGACGCTCCCTGGTGGCACAAAGGGTTAAGTGCAGCACTGCAAGCTAGCCACAGCTGCTTCAGTGCCAGTTCCATCCCCTGCGCCAGAGGTGATCCACAGGGCTCAGCAGAGCTGTCTCATTTGCTGCCTCTCTCAGCAATATATTTCACCAGCCTGCCTGTTCTCCTCCCCACTCAGTCTCTGGTGAATCCTCTCACTGCCCCGGCACCTTTGGCCTGTACCCCAGAGGTATGCATAAATAAGCATATCTTTTAAAAACAGATTTATTTATGTGCACAAGAGCTGGGGCATAGGCCAGAGTTGTGGGGGTTGGGGGGAGAGGGTTCACCAGAGACAGAGTGGGGAGCAGAACAGGCAGATCCAGTGAAATACACTGCTAGAGGAGCAGTGGCTGAGACAGGAGAGGTCTGTTTTGCCATATGGGTTAGCTCCCTGGCCAGGGATTCGGCTCATGCTGCAGTTGCTGCGGATTGCTTCATAATGCTGAGACTCAGCCCTGGTACCACCAGGGAGGCCCTCAGCTGTCCTTTTATTTTGGGCCCTGAAGAGCAGTTGCACTTGTCTGTTCACAACAATGTAGACTTTTTAACACCCACGTTCAGACTCTTCCATCTTTGCCTCATTTCCCAGCTCTAAAACCGCTTCCACATTTTTGGATATTTGTTATAAGGGCACCCCTATCTTTTATTACCAAACTTCCATTTCATTGTCTTTAGGCTAGAACAAAAGTCCATGGACTGGGTACCTTGTAAATAACTGCAATTTCTTGCTCACAAGCCTGGAAGCTGGAAGTCTGAGATTAGGATGCCAACATGGATGGGCAAGGGTACTCTTCAGATACAAGAACTGGGGTACAGGCCAGAGGTATGGGGGGGGCGGTGAGAGGATTCACCAGAGGCTGAGTGAAGAACAGAATAGGCAGATTGTCTGTAACACAGTTCTGAGGGAAGCAGCTAGTGGGACAGGAGAGGCCTGTTGCGTTGTGTGGGTCACCTCCCTGGCTGGGGATCAAACTTCTGGTGCAGTGGCTATGGATAGTTTCATAGTACTGCGCTTTACACCCTTGTGCCATCAGAGAGTGTCCTTTAGTTTAATTCTGTCATGGTCAGAGAGCATGTATTTTGTGATATTAATTCTTTTAAATTTATTAAGTTTTGCTTTATGGGTCAGAATTGATCTGTCTTGCGAGTATTTCGTGTGTGTTTGAAAAGATGTTAATTGCTGTTGTTGAATCTGGATGATAGAAAAATCAGATTCATTTGTTTGATGCTCTTCTATATCTGCTACTTTTCTCTCTGCTTGTTCTATGGATTACTGATAATATGTGCTGTTGAAGATTCCAAGAATAATTGTGGATTTGTTTACTATTGATTTATCCTTTTTTGCTTGTATTTTGGAAGTTTGTACAGCATTTAAGAATGCTGTATCTTTTGATGAATGGACCTTTTTCTTATTATCTCAGGTCTTTATACCTGCTAATTTTTCTTGTTTTGAAATCCGCTTTGTCAGATTTTAATGTTACTATAGTATTCCAGGTTTATTTTCATTAGTGTAATTCTCTGACTTCTCACCTACATATAGTATATTTAAAATGGAAAACTAGTATTTAAGAGACTACAATTGTCAAGTTTTTGTGTAATAACATAAAAGAATATCTATAATAATCTGAAGCGACATAAAATACCTTTACTTCTTTCAGATACTTACATGTGGGAGACTAAACTTTTTTCAGCCAAAACAGTATATACAGTAAGTCTTCTTTAGATTTTGTCTCTTGGTTCTTAAAAATTTAAGGAAATACCATTTAAATAAACCATTTGTTTATTTAAGATTTATTTGTTTAAGCATACAGGAACTGGGGTATAGGCCAGAGGTACAGAGAAAGTGAGGAATAGGGCAGGCAGATCTCCTGACCCGCTGAGGGGAACAGTGGGCAAGATAGGATTCGCCATGTGGATTAGCTCCCTGGCCAGCCTGGGACTGAACCCATGTTGCAGTGGCTGGAAATAGCTTGATGGTGCTGTGTTTTTAATCCCTATGCCACCAGGGAGGCCCCAAGAATCAATTTTAATATAAACTGGTTGATATAAATAAGATTTAAATTCCTATCATATTTCTGGTTACAAAATCATTACCCAATGTCTAAATAAAATTCCAGAATACTTTTAATGTTGAAAAATAATGTTAATTAATTAACCCATTCATTTTCCCCAACCTCCTTTTATTCCAGGTCAGGGTACTGTGTATCTGGAGTTTATCCTGATAGTTATGGGCTTGAGGAGGAAGGAACCAACCCAAACTAGATGTCCTGCCTTTGCAGAGCACACTTGCAAACACTCACACTCACTTAGACTGGGACAATTGAGACATGCCAGTTAACCTAATGCACACATTTTGGGATGTAGGAAGAAAAATACCTGGAGAAAATTCATATAGACATTGGGAGAATGTGAAAACTGTACACAGGTAGTGATCCTTGCCAGGAATTTGTTTTTAATTACTATAATGAAACAATGAACAAAATGATGTTATTTTAATATATTGAATGCAGAAACAAATAAGGAAGCCATCTACTTTCGTTTAAGATTTGAAAAATGTAATAATAGTGTCACTCTTTATTAATGTTTTTGTTTGGAAAATACAATCAGTAGAATGCATTTTAATATATTGAAATAAAATTGTATTTTCATTAATTGTATGAAATTAATACATTTAATTTAAAAATATGCCACCATTCTCCTGCCTTTAATTTTGATTTACTGGTAAATTAAATATACTTATTTAATCAAAGGAAAGCTTTTTGGGTCTTTTAATATTTGTAGAGATTTTGAAACCAAATAGTTTGAGAATCATTTATTTAGCAGGTAAGTGTTTTCCATGCATTATTAGCAACATCACACCTTTTCTAGATTTTATTTGCTTGTTTGAGTTCTAGATTATTTAGAGCTTTTTGAAATCTCAGTATCAACAGTCACAAAATCTTTGCCTCCAAGTAAGATCAAGTATATATTTCTAAAGAGAGAAATAAAATGTTACCATCAGGAGAATTTCATATGAAAGACTATCTAAAAGCAGAGTGGGCAGGGGAAGAGGGAAGAAAGTTCCATGAAAAAAGAAGGAATAAAAGGAGAAAAAAATGCGAATTTTGTGAGAAGTCAAAGCTACCAAATTGAGGCAACTGGAACCTTTTCTGTTCTTTAAGAGGCAGCCTGGTCATCAAAAGTAGGTGAACTCTGGAGAAGTAGAAAAATATGCACTTGACTCTTTGTTCAGCTGCTTATTTTCCAAGATTCAAAAGCCATTTAACTAATTCACGTCTTTCATACTTTGTAGAATAAGGGTAGGAGGGCAGTATATATTTTTGGCAGTTTCCATCTTTTGTGAGTATATGAAACCTCTGAACTTAAGCCTCTAGGTGCTCACCAACTTAATCTGTTGATCCCTCTCCAATATAATAAAGCATGGTATAATTTTATGAAGATCTTGAGAATGGTAAATTCCATATTGCTCTTTGAAAATGTTGAAATGATTGAGTCCTTTAACTTCTGCTTGGTCCTGTTCTGAGAGAACAGGTCAGGAAAGGCAAGGAGTATGCCCAGCATGTATGTATAGGTCTAATTTAGGAATGATATTAGAAGCTGAAAAATAAATTGAGATCAGGAAATAATCCCATAAATGAAGGACAGGTAGGATGTGAGTATAGTATAAATTGAAACTGATGTTAGTTCCAAGCTCCATATGTTAAATGTAATTAGAGTAGGACAGCCAATGGGAATCAAAATAGGCTGGTCAGATTCTATAAAAGAACTAACAACTCTTGATATCAGGTAGGAATTGTACACTGTTTGGTGAGATTCCTGAATTCAGTTACTGGTTACAGGACAGGAATACAGTTTCTGAAAACAAGAACATGAAAGTGCAAATGCCGTTAAGTGCAGTTGGAAACATGGTATGAAAGCTTTCATAGAGTATTAATTGAAAATCTTTATAATCAGGCTTCCAGAATGTGTGGTGGAGATACTTTTTATTTAATTTATATAACTTAAACTAAACTTGACTATTTTTCTACTCTGATTGCTCCAGAGTAAGCATGTGATGGATACATTGTTTTCTCAATTGGCCTCATTTGCTATCCCTGTTGTAGTATAAGCATGTTATTTCATTGTGTTTCTTATGCTTAGAGATGCCTGATTTTCCCTGTATGTATTCTAAATTCCAATTAGTACTTTTGCTTGCGACTTAAATGAAGAAAGAATTGGTCATCACATGAAGGTTAAATTACAGATTTTTTCTTCTATGTGCTGAGTTTAATGTGATTCTACTATAAAGCAGATGCAGTTTCCTTTCTTCTTCCCTTGTACACTCTCCATGTTTCCTTATTCTTTGTGTTCTGGATGCCTGTTTATTTTAGCTAGCAAATTGGTTTTCTTTACTTTTTATAGTAAACTAAAAAGATTAAGTAACACCTATTGTAAAATATTCAAACCATCTGTATCTACTTATATCTGTATATCTGGAGAAGGGGAGTGAGTTAATAGTCTTATCACTCAGGTAAGTGAGATTACCGCTGTTTACAGTTTGATATGTATCCTTCTAGAACTTTAAGCATATAGAACATGTAATAGGAATTTCTCTCTCTCTATCTCTCTTTTTTTTTTTGCATAGAAAAACTGGGGTGTAGCCAGAGTTGTGGGGTGGGTGGCTAGAGTATTTACCAGAGCAGAAACAGGCAAATTTACTGAACTACACCGCTAAGGGGAGTAGTGGATGAGATGAGAGGTCTGCTGCGCTGTGTGGCTTAAGCTCCCTGGCCAGAGATTGAACTCAGGCAGGAGAAGTGATAGCATTGAGACTTAACCCCAACTCCTAGGCTACCAGGGGGAGATCCTGTAATAAGAATTACTTTCAATCATAATATTATGGGTTTGCAAATTTTCCCTTAATATTTTTTTCTACACTTTATAATACCGGTACTTACAACTTATGTTTTTGGTGTACATATCATAATTCATGTCTTTGGGTACTTGAATAGTTTTTGTGATATATGAAAATTGCTGCTTCAAAAAAAGGTGTATTTCTTATTTTGACCACTATTGCCTAGTCTTCAAAATTTTCTGCCAAAAAAATAACTTAATTAAAAAGATGACAAAAAAATTGTAATTTGTATCAGAAATAAAAAATAAATTTTCTATTATATAAAGATTAAACTAAGAAAGCAAGGTTCAGACAGTGCACATAGCATACACCCACGGTTTGTGTGTGCTTTTTTGTTGTGAGGACATGAAAATTAGAAGTTATTTATAAATGTCTTGTTTTCATATATTTATAAAGAAACAATAGAAAGGCAAACCAAAGAAATGACTATTCACAAAAATGACTATCTTGTGAACAAGAGAAAAAAAAGAAAGAAAAGGTATATGAGGAAGCAGACATAGCTGAATGTACTTTCTTTGATAGATTTACTTTTAGAACCATCTAAATGTTTTATGTAATTTTGAAAAAAATCAATAAAGAAAAACGTGATCTCCAGGACATTAAAGCAAATGGGTTTAGCTACTGTGTAAGCATGTGAAGGGCAGTTTCTTTATCAATTAGGGCAAATGGATAAAGGAATGTCCTGGAGCTCAGTGGCTTTTCAGCCTTTAATGCTTCTATATTATATGCCAGTTGTTTTGGGGCAAGCACGCTGGCTGGCAAGATGGGTGTTGGGGGAGGAAGAGTGAGCAGAGTGGGAGGCTGGCAGGCCTCCCAGCCCTAGGTGAATCTCTGTGTTTTTTCTCTTTTGGGCTCTCTGGTGTTTTCTCATGATCTCTTCTTCTCACAGTCGTTTCCTCTTCTGGCCATTCTCCACTGCAGCCATTTCTGTGTGATGTTGCACTTACTCCCTTAGCCTCCTGGCTTAGGTGTGCACACTTATATATGCCTATACCATATTCTAGGTATCTACAATCAGACATGCGAACCCTGAGCCCACACTCCCAAGTGCCTCGTGCATTAGCACAATCAAAGCCACAGGTGATACCTGCAGAGGCCAACCATGTAAATCTTCATTTACCCTACAGCTGTATTATTCACTTGTCAGAACCATACAAAAACTTATATTCTGTCTTTCCTATAGAGTTGTCAGATAATTAATGAAACATAGTTCTTTCTAGGAAATTGGTTTCTAAAAATAGAGCTAGCAGATCAAAAACAGCTAGCAGATCATCATGTTGGAAATAGTTGATCCTGCAGGCATTGATAATCACTGGCAGATAAAATTATTAGGTGAAGTTTTTCTGGGAGAACTTGTTAATGGGTGAGTCAGGTTTATACTACTAAATTCATCATTAATTCTTAATATCACAGAAAATGGGACAACCAGATCTACAAACTGTTCTTGTAACATCCATAAAAGAACAAAAATCTTTGCTAAGAAGAGGGTGGGGGAGGCTTGGGGAAGAAAATAAAAAGTAAAACCTGTATATACACTACCACTTTATAGGAGATGAAGTTCATAAAGAGATACCATGAAGATGAAAATCAAACAAATCCATATGTGGTTTGCCAGTTTCTTCAAATAAATGGCATAGAAAGAGAACTTTGCTACATACACTAGAAAGACTTAAAACATTGAAGTGTGAAGTACAGACTTATTTTGAATCCTTGTTCAAACCAACCGTAAAAGATAAAGACTCAGAAAAAATTGAACATTAATATGAGATGTAGTAATAGAATTGTTGCACGTGTTAATTTCATTAAAGAAGCACATGTTAAAAGCATAAATTTAGAAGTCTGTTTATTTGTTTGATGGTAATAGGGATAATAATGGCTTCCCAAAGATGTACACATTCTAATTTCCAGATTGGTAATTTTATTACCTTACGTGGTTAGTCTTTGCAGGTATAATAAAGGATTTTGAGATAGGGACATCTTGAATTATTTTTATGGGCCCATACTAGATGGAGAAAGTTAACCTTAAGAAAGGAAATGAAGCTGTCAAGCCGAGGTCATGTTGTGGCCATGAACCAAGAAATGCCAGGAGCTTCTAGAAGCTACCAGTGCTGTCCATTTGCTCTGCTAACATTTGTTAAGTGGGATGTTTTTTCCCACTATCTGTACATCTATCTGTATTACTATCTATATTACTATCTGTACATCTGTCAAAATTCAGTTTGTGTGGGTCCTTTTATGGGTTTCCTAGTCTACATGGTTGATACACATTTCTGTTCATTTGTGGTATTTGTACATTCTTGCTATAGCTACATAATAACATTTCCCCCTACTTTATTCTAAAGTTTGCTGGAATTTGAATAAGAATTATATAACTTGTGTAAAGTCTTCCATTGTATAGGCTCTTCTTTAGATTTTTGATTTCTTTAATTTGCATTGTAGTTTTCAACAAACCATTCTCTTCATGTTATGTCTCTTTTATCTTATTTCTGCTGTATAAACCCTGCTATGATAAAACCTTTTTTTAATCATTGTGTAGTGAACTTCATTATTACAAATAATGGTTTTGCTTTTATGTCCTTTTGTATAATAGTAAGATAGCTGTAATAGTTTTGTTTTGAATATTATTTGGCTGAGGTGTGTATGGCATGCGTGTGTATTTTCATATTTTTATTTTGAACTTTTTATTGGGTTTAGATTTTAGGTATAATTTTTTGAAAAGCATGTAGACTAATAATTAAATTTCATAAAAATTATTTTCTATGTGATTATAGTACTGAAGCTGTTGAAGATGGCAGAAGAGGTGGTGGTAGTAGCCAAATTTGATTATGTGGCCCAACAAGAACAAGAGCTGGACATCAAGAAGAATGAGAGATTATGGCTTCTGGATGATTCTAAGTCCTGGTGGCGAGTTCGAAATTCCATGAATAAAACAGGTTTTGTGCCTTCAAACTATGTGGAAAGGAAAAACAGTGCTCGGAAAGCATCCATTGTTAAAAACCTAAAGGATACCTTAGGTAAGTTGTTTTTATATTAGAAAAGGTTTTGTTTAGTGGATGCTAGAGCATGGTTCTTTTAAAGAATTTTCACAGTGGCAGAATTGACCAGGAAACTCCAGGATTGGGTTTTAGCTAGGCAAGGTAAGTTTGGCTCATAGCATGTGAGGAGACCAGTGAAAGTCATAAGTACTAATGGGTAGTTTCTATAAATCTAACTAGTGAGTTTGGCTGGAATTCAAAAGTCAAACCAGAGGGTTACTAAAGATCAGAACTAATCTTTTTTGCAGGGTTTCTTTGAACAGAGAGTACCTTTTGAGGTTTAAAATTATGAACTAATTTTGCATCTAATTGAGATAGGGATAAGTGAGTGGAATGCAGAATTGTCTTCTTGCATTAAGGCAGTTTTTCATGTGTCACACTGCTGTATTTTAACATCTAGTGGTATATATTTTGAATATTTTGAATTTTCCTTTAAAAAGCAAATGATTTTACTATGTTTAAAAAATTTGAATTGAAATGTGGATCATACTATATATCAACATCTAAAAAACTGTTGTATCTTTCTTCCCCATTCTTTTTTGAATGTAAAATGTATCTATATTTTTAAAATATCTTTGTTTTTCTATTAGGGCCAGAGATAGTGGAACCACTTCATGGGGCCTGGCTTAATTGATAGGAAGGAAATGTGCACAGATGAGGACTGGCCTTTTTTTTCTCTCAGTTAATTAAACTCCTCTGGTTGCCTAACAGGAAGGAATTGGGAGGGACCAAATTTAATTTTTGGTATTCAGGCAAAGTATGTTATTGTTGCTCAGTGGTTTCTGTATGTATGTTAGACGAGAAAGTTAAGTTTTCTCCTTGCATAGGTAATTTGGGAGCAGAGTGTAGAGTAAGTGACAAGTATTATCAAGTAACTGCTGTACATTTGTTTTTATTATTCAACATTATTATTATTATTGTAGACAGAATGTCTCATTAGCAATAGAAAACAGATATTTATGATTTTTAACCATTTTAAAACAGGAAGAATAAAATATTGTACAATAAAAAGATATAAACTATCAGAATTTTGGTTTCTAAACTAAAAACATTTCCAGTTCTAGAGGTAATTTGATGAAATGAGTCACTCATTTGAATATTTTTACTGTGATACCAACTACTGTTTCAGAGGTTATCTTTTTTGAGATTTAAGGTTTTACAAAAGACCATTTTTAGCTTTTAAATGAAAAACTACTCAGAAAGATATTTTCTTTGGATAACTGGAGATCACACTTAGAATGAGGAATGCGTTTTAATTTTGTACGTAATGGACATCTATTTAAAGCATGTTCATTAGAGATATTAGGGGGAAAAATTTAAAAATATTTATTTATGAATACAGAACTAGGGTACAGGCCTGAGGTGCAGGGGTGGTGAGAGAATTCACCAGAGACAGAGTGGGGGGCAGAACAGGCCGACTGACAAAGTACACTGCTGAGGGGAGCAGCAGGCGGGTCAGGAGAGATCTGCTGCACCATGTGGATCACCTCTGGGGCAGGCAGGGTTCAAATTCATGCTGAAGTGGCCTTAGCTTCTTAGTGTTGTGATTTAACCTGCTGCACCACCAGGGAGGGCCAATATCAGGAAAAATTAAGGTAACTTTGATCATGAAAGCCTCATGGTGATGAGGCATAGACAGGACCAACGTCACCTAGATCGACTTTTGGGTCCCTTTTATTTATTTATTTTTTTTATTTTATTTATTTATTTATTTTTTTTTTTTAAAGATTTATTTATTTGTGCATACAGAACTGGGGTACAGGCCAGAGGCTCAGGGGCGGTGAGAGGCTTCACCAGAGACAGAGTGGGGAACAGAACAGGCAGATCAACGAAGTACACTGCTGAGGGGAGCAGCGGGCGGGTCAGGAGAGGTCTGCCACGCCATGTGGTCTCCTCCGGGGCAGGCGGGAATCGAACTCATGCGGAAGTGGCTTTAGATTCTCAGTGCTGTGCTTTAACCCGCTGCGCCACCAGGGAGGGCCCCCTTTTATTTTTTAACTTTTTTAAAAAAAAAAGTTTATTTATGCATGTAAGAACTGGGGTGCTGACCAGAGGTGTGGGGTGTAAGAGGATTCACCAGAGACAGAAAGGGGAACAGAACAGGCAGATCTACTGAAATACCCTGCTGAGGGGAGCAGTGGGTGGGTCAGGAGAGGTCTGCCATACCAAGTGGGTCACTTCCCTGGCTGGGGATTGAACTTGTGCTGCAGTGGCTGCAGATAGCTTCATAGTCCTGTGCCTTAATTTGTATGTATCATCACGAAGGGCTTTTGTTGTCCCTTTTAAAAATGATATTGGTATCCTCAAAATAGAGCAAATGTGACAGTAAGTAACAAAAGATAGTGAAAATACTAGTATAGTAGAACAGAGACCAAAAAAACAAAACCTGTTTTTAGGTAATTCTGCATATAAATTTTTAAAAAGCCCAATTTCAACTATTATTTGCTAACCCAGGAGAACTTTCATGGTATTTTCTGTTATAGACACAATTTTAGCAATGCATTGTATCTGTTTAAAAAGTCTGTTAATTTTATTACTATATTATGCTTATTGTCACTTATATTCCAGGGTTCTTGGAAGCAGTTTGTTTTAAGTTAGTGATCTATAGTTAGCCTGTATAATGATGTAAATTCAGCCTTTGCACCAGAAGCCTTTTCTTCTTCCTGAACTCGTTGTACTTCAATATCCCACATAATTAATAGACTTATTTCACAATGACTGTGCTGGTAGAGAAATTGCTTAAAAGCTAAGAATGAAATGGCAGAACAAAGGAAAGAATGAATACATGGATGTATTTTTAACTATTGATAAAATAGGTATGGAAGCTTCTTTCAAAGTAAATCTGAGTAAGGTCATATTTGTGGCCTTTATGGTGTACTTGTTTTACAGGTTATGTTATATATAGTTCAGTTCAGGGGCAAAAAATTTTGGAAAGAGAGAAGCCTCAGAAAACTTTCTATTGCCTGGCTGTGAGCCAAGTCACATGGATAGGGTGTGGAGAGTTTCAGTGTTGCAGAACAGACCAGGAAGCTCAGGGAGAATTATCCTGAGCTGTGTGAACAAACTGACAAAAGAAAACTCGGGATTTTTATTCAGAATGGATTGGTTAAATGCCTTCAAAGAGTTTTTCAGTAAGTTAACCTTTTAATTACATATACCTTTCTTAACAGTTTTTGATTAGGTTTTTTTCACTTTGGTTGAATTCAGTGGAAAATTATTTGGAGGGAACTTTCTGGGTGTGTATAGGCCAGTGTTTTATGTTGTGTTTGAAAGAACATTATTAGTTGAATATTAGTTTTGACTTGATAAGTAAAATAGTTTTAAGATGTGTTAGTATCAGTGATTAGAAAATAGGAAAAGGGTCTATATGGTTTGAGTGAGTTCTAATTCAGTAATTTTCAATTTAGATGATTATTTTGAAGTAAATAAATTGTAAACATTAAAAACTTTAGGTGGAAAAGGATTAGATGAACTAATTCCTTTTTCCTCAACATTTGAATTAACAAATTGTTTTTGTACTTGTTAGTTATAATTTAGGGGAACATTGCAGAAAATTATGTTTAGTAAAAGAGTGTTTCCATTTAATCAACATGGAATTGTTAGAAGTGGCTGTTTTGGTAAATATGAGATTTGATATGAGAGAATTTCTTTACAAAGAAAGTGAAACCACTATGAGGAAAGAGCAAGTTCTTGGGATTGTTTTTGAGTTCAAATTTTACAACAATAATTTAACATACAAGAAATTAACCTCTGCAGATGGTCTTTTATGGACTCATGATAAGTGAACTTAGTTTTATAGCTTTTAACATTTGTATAATGTTTCCAGAAAAATAAAAAAAAATTTTTGTTGTAGTTATCTCTAATATATAAGGAGCTTAAAGAAACAAAGAGTAAGCTGTTGTGAGATTTCAGACAAGGGGGAAAAATGGAATAAGAGCAAGCACTTTTTGAAAAAGAATGTTATAATTACATTTTTTAAAAAGTTTTATTTATGTATATAAGAACTGGGGTACAGGCCAGAGGTGTGGGATGTGTGTGAGAGGATTCTCTAGAGAAGAGTGGGGAATAGAACAGACAGATCTACTGAAATACACTGCTGAAGGGAGCAGCAGGCACAATAGGAAAGGTCTGGTGTGCCCCATGTGGATCACTTCCCTGTTTAGGGGGATCAAACTGGTGCTGCGGTAGCTTTGGATAGCATTATAGTGCTGTGCTTTGACCGTTGTTCCACCAGGGAGGGCCCTGGTAATTATAATATTAAGACTGTTGCTTCCTTAGTTAACTTTGTTGGGGAATAACTGCATTTATTTAATAGGTTTAAATTTATTAAATTTACTTTTCAGGAGGTTATTCGTGTTTTTTTTAAAATTATTTTAAAGATCTTATTCATTCATTTATCAGTATTTTTATTGAGAGCCTGCTATCAGCTTTGTAAAACTCATAGAATGAAAAAATAGAAATTCTCACCAGGTAGGGAGGTAGATGACAGTTACTATTAACAATCCAGTGGCTTTCATAATCTTGGTTTGGTTATGATGTTGGCTGTGAAATTACCAGAAATGATACAAAAAGTATATACTTTGTTGCTGATAGAGGTTTGAAAGAGTCAGTTAAATGGTAAATATATTTCCTATTGAATCTTTAAAAGCTTATCATTGATTTTAAATACATTTGTAACACCGAGGTCAGTATCTGAGATTTGTGACTATACTATTCTTTTGCCCATTACCTGCAGTAACCCAAAATTTATTGTGCACTGCAGCTTGTCAGAGTAGAGATAAGTTATCCCCCTACTTGTTACCTGAATCGATTTAAAAAGTAGAGGAAATTTTGTTTGTGCTCCTATTATGGGAGATATTGAAAGGCCCTTGAAAACAAAAAGGGCGCAATGTCTAAATAAGACAGAATAATCACAAACAATTTACCTGATTACCTGTAGATGAAAAGAATAGATTAAAAAGAATTTAAATAAAAATTTA